GTGCCCCTGCGTTGACTCCGCCTTTGCCCGGCTCCAGCAATGACAAATTGTTCTGGTCACTCTAGGATCTGTCCCCGGAATACAGAACAGATTAAACTGTCCATGTGCCGCTGCACCTGCGCCGTGCCGAACATCCATTATCTCCCATGATGCAGTGGCTGCTCGGTGGCAGGGTGTATTCACGCAGGGGGCACCTCATTGACCCCTGGTACCGTCTGATCTATTCAGTGGCAAAAGTCTATGAACGACAGCAGCCCAAAGAAAAAGAAGGCAACCTGATGGGAGCTCTGCAAAGCAGTCTGATCCCTCTCCTTTTAACACAAACTGCAAGCTTTTTCTCGGAACGGCCCGTGACAATTGACCACACACCTGCTGTAGCTTGTCTGGTGCTTGCTTTGTACTGATGCTAGTTTCGCACCAACGGAAACTTCATCACCCTGCAAAACAGTTTGCATGACTGCATGGTTGACTCACCTCTCGACATCGAAGATTAAGATCCTTCTGCTTCTGGGCTTTCTAAGGACTCACATTTAAATCCCAGTCTTTTGCAGTTTTAGCATCATGCCATGCTGGGCGTTTTCATTAACTAATGGCCTGGCTGTGCCAATAGCCTATGGAAGTGATCTAGAGTTTTACATTGTCCTTGTCCGGAAATACCCCCGTGTCTTTTGGGTTTGAATGGTCTTACACAAGATCTTTCATGATCACGTTTAGTGAACTGTCAAACTATCTGAAGTTCTTTTGAAAGTTTCAGATCAGCAGATCAAGATTAGAAATGAGCACTGTCTGTGCCGGAGCTCGGGTTTTCCTCCTTTTGTTTTTTAAAAGGGCAGTTTAACCAACAGGACCACCACAGCAAAAAAGAGAAAGTGTTGATCCCACCCGTTTCAGCCCATCATTGACTGATGGGATAACAATTCCATTCCAGACCATTCCATTTCTCACATAAAAAGATCATTTCTGAAACTCAGACATGATTCAGAAAATCAAACAATTGGTTAAATTAAGGGTTTGATCATTTTAACCAATTAAGGTCTACGAAAGACAAGAGAGGGTCCTCTGGGGACAGGACTGGAAAACTGTGGTCTAGAGAGACTTGAGAGAAAATGAAAGCTGCAGCATTCTTTACTACTGTTAGAACATTCCAGACTATGCGTAAAACATACATTAACCTTCTGCATATGTTATACTAAATATATACTGTATATATATTCAATTTTGGGGCTACCGCTAACCCTTTCTGCCTGTCAACATTTGCAGGCACTGGAATTGAATATACGAGTTTTATGCCACATGTTTATGGTCCTTGCTCTCCTTCATCTCCTCCACTGCTCATTTCCAATGCTTTCCTTATTATTATTGAAGGGTTTCCTTTAGGAGATCCGCTGATCCTTTCAGAGCAGGGGCTCGTTCTTTTCAACTCGCAATGTAATGTAGACACGCACTCTTATGAAGCAGAACAGCGGCTGTGCTGTGAGAAAACGAGAGGCTAGTTTTTAAGAGCCGGCCTG